GTACACACACTGTTTTCCCATTAATCATACGACAGTTATATATAATTTCTTCACAGAATTCTCACCTATGATGCGAGCGACACGATTTTACAAACGTAAACGAGGTAAGAACTAATAATCAGCATTTATATTAAATAGTAATTAAAACTGTTTAACGAGTTTGCCATTATCTTTAAAAATCAATTGTGAAATTTGATTTCTTTACGGTACGATTACGGCCTTTAGATACCCGTTTTCACTTGTACGTTTTCACTTCGCTATCGTAGCAATATCATTATCGTAAAGAGAATGGAAGACGATCTCCAGTTCCAGCATTCCAACGGTCTTTCCGGTTTGGGTGCTATCGAGGAGATAACGATCTCGCGTTACAAATGATCGGGGCTGTCCCAGAGGAGCGATTCGGATCAGCGAACGTAGGACACGCTCTGTGTCCTATTCGCTCGCGTCCCGTCGAGCATTCTCTCGAGTGAGCCGTAAAAGCGTATCGGCGCGGAGCAACGCAAATAAAACCGTATCGTATCCTGTATGGCTCACCGAGTATATGGCGAAGCGGCTTAAGTGATTGCTTCTCTTCATTAGAGCTTCGGACTCGCCTCTCTCCCTCTCGCGAAGTCGAAGTTGAGGGACAGGTGTGGTAATGGCCCGTATCCGAGCTCTCGCTTAACCCACCTCCTACGACCGTCAGTCGATTTAACCCTCCTCCTACCCTCGCGAGCCATCCTCTACCCCTTCGGAACTATTACGCGAATTGATTCCGCATCGGATCTGCCTGGAGGGGCGGAAACTCGCGTTTAGCTCCTCGTTTCCTCCACTTTTTCACTCCTTCTCTTTCTACTTTATCACTCTTCTCTTTTCTTATCGCCGGCGCGTGACCACCCTCGGTCCATTTGCGTGCATCTCACCCCGTCGTAAAGGCGCGAATTGCATTCCCCGGATTATCGGCTTCCATCGGGGCTTGAACGACGCTCGTGGTATCAGCAAGGGTACGTGGCTGGTCGTACGCAAGTCGATTAATTCAATAGGAACAGTGAAGTTCTTAGCATATAAGTGGATGATGCGTTTAGGATCGGGCTTTCGATCATTTTGTAGAACGACTGGAAAGAACGATTAGGATTTAACATGACGAAAAATAAAACGGGGAATTCATTGATTATTAAATAAATTGGAAACGCAAGCAAGACTGATTACCTTGTGGGATAAAATAACTCCACGGTCTTTGTAATGTGACTTTAAAGCTGGATCTTCCAAATTACGTTCTTAATCCATATAACACACATTCTTTAAATAAAAGTTTCACTGTATCCAGACAGTATAATCTCTTTAGAAAGCAATGTAAACGGCGTCTTGATGTGCGATCAATCGTTACGCAGCCTGTTTAACTCAACGTATTTCGGAATGTTAGAGAAGAAGGATCAACTGGAGCCGGATCGAACTTGTAATTCCTCTCGCGAGATAAACAGCATCTAGCAGCGAGTTTCTACGATATCGCGATATATAAGGTAGTTGGTCGATGTATACGCCACCACGCGCGTCGCATTAAATAATAATGCCGGTGATTGCTGTTGGGTGCCCGCCGAGGCAAACTGCAAGCTACAAGAACGGTAAGGAGGGTGCGGCAAGGGGAAGAACGGCGGCAGAACGGAGAAGACGTTGCCTTTACACCCCCGCCAGATATATCATCGCCTGGCAGTTATGTGTGTCATGAATTTTAGATTATCCTTGGATTAGATTAAGGCACGCGGGGGCCGGAAGAGCAAGCAGCCCCTTGGCCCGCCAGTCAGTGCGCGGGGCTGAATTATTTCCAAATCTCGCGCAGCATCCGTCCCACCCATCCCCTCGATCACACCGTCGGAATTGCAGGATTGATCTGTTGCTGCGAATTTTTCACGGTTGCCAAGCGTTAATAAATTTCCTGGCGATACTCTTCGAACTAAACAATAAAGTAATTTAATATTAAGAGATATGTAATCGAGTTCTGTTTAAAGGAAATTTTAATCGTAAATATTTATTACAGAAAAGAGATTCATGTTTTAAGTAGATGAATTACTATATTGAAAGTTTTTCGTTTCAAAAAGAAATATTAAAAATTGTCTAATCTTAATCTTTGAGAAATTTTTTTAGATAATCTTTTTATATTTATATATATATTTTACTTACTTTTTTAAATAATACACTCTATTGCTGCTATTATTTTTACGTCTCTGATTTTGTGCAACGATCTCAAGAAATCTCGACGAGTCGCCCCCGCGCGTTTCTCGATTATTCCCCGTTTCATCCCTTCTGAGGGTACGAGGGGGCGGAGATAATTGATGATGGTAGCTGGTTTTCGCGGGACATTATATCGCAGTTACGAGTTTCCGTCCCCTACTCGCGCGCTACGAATGCGCAATGTGCGAACAACAGGATCTCGCTATATAGTGGGGAGAATACCCCGAGGGTGGTTCCCACCCTTTGCTGGCCCCACGTGACCCCAGCCAGACAAACGACGGCCAATTTACGAGCAATAGGAAAAACTTCTTAAAACTCGGATTAAAATGAGCAAAGAGGGAAGAGAGAGGAGCATCCCTCGGCGCCCTCCGAATTATCTCAGGGATACGAGAGAGTTTTATTTTATTTCCGAAAGCGTCACCGGAAGTGGAAGGGCGAATACGGCCCTTGGCCCTGGCCTTGCGCTTTTATTATTATCTCCCTGTCTGGAAATGAGGTGAAGCGTCATTATTTTTATCGTTATGCGAATGTAATTGCTGCAAATTATTCTTACTATTTTCATTTGTTGCTATAATTGCAACATCAGTGATTATCGATAATAATAATAACTCGATTAGATCCTTCTCTATATTGCTCCGTGTAAAGTACTTGAAATTCTAAAAAATCAAATATATTATAAAAAATAAATAAATAAATAAAAATTATTAAAATTATAAATCTTCTAGTGTATAAAAATGTTTTCGATAAAATTATATAGTTAAAACTTATATAGTTAAAACTTAACTAAAATATAAAGATTAGATACGATACGCGTCCTTTCTAACATGGCGAGGACTTTTGCTAATTATTTCACGAAAACTAACAGGAAAAGAAAGATACATTTTCGCGTTTATTACAGGAGCAATAGATGACAATTTAGCAATTTAGAATGTATTCAATTTTAATATGTATGCATATTAATAATATATATAATGAGTTATATTTTAAATATCGCTTTATAACTGAATTAATTTCTAATCCAATATAAAAATCTGCTATATATTAGAAAGTTTACATCGTAAAAAATTCGATGTTAGTTTATGAGACCGTAAGTCACTGTTGCAAAATCAATCTTGCGGTCGTAAAGCGACCAAATTATGGGCTTTCCTTTTTTTATATACAATGCCTATAAAAAGTTCAGCATATACGGGTCGTATACGTTGAAGCGGTTGCTGTACGCCGGCGTTCTTTTTAATTAAAGTCACTAATCAAATTACGACCACGCGACGTTGTTTCGACCTATCGACACACGCGGATGGGACGATAACGACGCCCCGGGGATGGCCGGAATAAATCCGTGTTAACGCGATTACAACCCTCCTCCGAGATGCATGACTGATTTATCCACGAAAATGCACTGGAAGACGTTTCATCGCGATTTGATATAGTGATAAGCTTCAGCAACGTGTTCCCGATATGGTAAATACTAATATATCCCCGTGCTACGTGGTAGCACTGCCATGATAGCAATAACACCAAGAATTCCCTTTTCCCTTAGCGTGTTTGGACTCGAGACGATATCGTAAAAGTCCCTTATATTTTCTCGCTAATGAATAGATGAGAAACCAGACTCGCGTATCCGCGATTTACGTGGAGATAAGTTGGACGAATTACCGGACTCGAGGAACGTGCGACTTTCGGAGCACCTCATTCTCCTTTCTGAGAGCAAGGGGTTCCGGGACTATAACGGCGCCCCGGGGACGACCGGGGTAACGCGATTACACGGCGCGGCACTGGCACAGCACGGCACAGCCACCGTTCGAGCGGTTCGCCCGGCTTGATTTATCCGCGTAGCCGCGCGTTATTGCATTAGCGCCCCGACGGCGATGCTGTCCGTCGTCCCCCGCTCGCTGGCGACGAACGCGAGAAATCGTCCGACGTCCGTCCACCCGCCCGTGAATCATCTACGAAAGTTATATCTTGCAAGCCGCTGCCAGGACACGGCGATCTATAATTCCCACCCGCGGTTGGTCAACGATCCTGGCGCGTCCTAGAATTTCCCGTATTCCTTCGTGAAGTAATATCGCTGGTAAGAAATGTGTGTTGTGACCGAAATCTACTCTTGGAAACAACGTACGGTTCCTTTTACATGGATGGTCAGTAATCTTGGCACTTTCTGAATTCCATCGTATATATAGATCACCCTCAGAAATTGCTTTTGCAACGTAAATCTATTCTTACAGATGACGTAAGAATCTTTTTATTCTACTGAACAGTAATCTTGATGCGTCTTATTTTTTCAAATTTCCTTGTCGATAAAATTCGTATTTGATAACAAAATGTATTTTAGAAAACTATAACCTTCGCTCTACAACCTTCTTTATATAAGTGGTCAAAGAACTGACCATACCTTGATATTTTCTGAATTCTTACGTTGACAAGTACCATTTCGACAAACGTTCCATTTAAACATTTCTTCACACGCATGAGCATACACAAAGCTACGATAACTTCCGCTCCGAACGAATGCCCGCTAACTTGAGACGAGAACTGGTTCAAGAATTGGTGACGATAAACTTTACAATGTGTCGCCTTCTTAATCGTTGCTGATTAAACTTCGCGGTTTTACATCACAGTTCTTCGACACAGAATACGCTAATCGAGATACAAGCGAGATTTCTGATTCTGTATACATTATATATGTTACACGTTTCCCGTCGTCCATCCGCAATTTACTTTATACACATTGAGTGTCCTTTGTTTGTACTTCTCAGACTCTTCGGCACGTCGCGGATGAAGAGATGCACGTGTTTCGCTTTTATATTCTTATACGCGAGCAAGTTTCTGCACAAAACAACGACACGTGCAACCTGTAATTTTAATCGTGTACAAATAATTGCAACCTTTTTACTCTCAAAATAATGTAAAAAAATTAAAATTTCTTAATTAAATTTTTTAAATTAAACTTTCAATTAAAGTTTTCATCTAGAAAAAATATAGAGGGGGGATCTAAATTTTATAGAATTTTAAGAAACAACAGCAATGAGTGAATATACTTTGACATAAGATAATGTACCTTTCCTATGGCATCGAAAATTGAAATCACCATGATCATAATGTCGATCCACTATCAATCTTTCTTTCGCATTGCTCTAATTGTAAGTCACATTTCGATGAAAATACAGATCTTCTTCGAATCTGAGTATACTCACCGTCACGACAACTCGCACTTCTTCATCCCCGTCGAATCCCTCTTCGTCCAAGACGTACCACACCGCGAACCTTACGCGGGCCTGTCGAGCCCTAAGGCCTCCTGGTGCCGTCTCGCTTTCAGCCTAAGGTCTGCGATGCTGCTGTTCTTCGAGCGAGCCGCCGCAGCGGCCAACGACGCCGCCAGGCTCAACGGATGAGGAGGATGACCAGCCGACGTCGCCGGGGGCGGCGGTGGCGGTGGTGGTGGCAGACAGAAGAGACCTCCGGCTGCCGCGTAGTGCAGCACCGCTGGATCAAAAGCTGATCCTACTGTTACACTTGTAGCCGTTCCCTGCATCGGCGGCGGATGTAACCTGAGAGCTGGCAGGTAAGGTGCAACTCGACATGGTTCCAACGTCGTCGGCGGGCTGCGCGGTGCCAGCACCATGCTCCCGGCGACGCCTGTAGGAAAATTTAATTAGAGCTACCAGTCGAATATTAATCTTAGAATATTATCGCTATTGATGTAACATTGCTATTGATACGTAAATTTTACAAGGAAATAGACCACTCTTAATTAATGTATTACAGTTTTTCATTTAAAATTTTACATTTCACACTTTTAATGATAAAATATTTTTGATCTAGACTTTTACAAATAAAAAGTCTAATTATTTATAACTTAAAGGCAAAGGAAAAATAAGCACATTATATCTAGGAAGAATTAAGCGTATTATATCTACTGTAGAATTTCATTTGCGACAGCATGTTACCTTTGTGTAACTGGCTCTCGTGTTTACGACACTTGGCACGTCGATTCTGGAACCAGACTTGTACCCGCGCTTCACTGAGACCGAGCCGCTGGCTCAGCTCCTCTCTCATAAACGCGTCCGGATAGTGCGTCTCATCGAAGAGCCTCTCGAGCTCGGCCAATTGCTCAATGGTGAAGTTCGTTCGCGATCTCCTCTGCTTGCCGTTGCCATTTCCGTTGCTTCGACAGCTGGATCCTACAAATTAATTATTGTTCAAACAAATGGAAAAGCGTTATATAAAATTATTAAAAGATAATTGTTTCTCGAATATGTATTTGTTTGATTATAATAAGTATAAATGATATATTACAACGCGGTATGAAGAGGTAAGTTTTCTATCGCTATTAAGGAATGCTTTCGACAAAACAGAAACCTGAATGCCGTGAGTCATCGCCGGAGATGTGCAGCGAGTAACAGGGAAGTTTTCGCGCGATGATTAATTCACAGGGACAAATGCGCGCCACGAGCCAGAACGACCGGGTCGGAGCGACCGATGCTACCGAATTGATCTTCGTGAATCGTTCACGGGCCATTTCTCCCAGTCTGGGTGCCATCAACATATATCTTGCCACCTTATGAGAATCTTATTCAAATCGAGATACCGACATCTCTAATTAGATGACATTAGACAAGCGTATCCTGCGTGAGGAAAACCCTTGACAGTTATCCCTCTCAACATGTCGAGGAATTGTAAAAGTAAGCATAAACCGGTCCGCAATGTATATCGATGTGTATAACCGCTGTGTTAAGCTTGTGGCACAGATTGCAGGATCGCATCGAGGACGCATCTTCACGCGGAAGATTCCATCGGACAGATGCAGAAAGGCGAGGGAGGAGGGTGATTAAGGTGAGATAGTACGAGTTTGCCCTCCCTCGTCTAGAGGAGAAAGTAGGGATGACTAACGACCCGGTATAAGACTGCGTAGCTCACCACTTTGCTAAATTATATAAATCACATCCCCTTCGTCAAGGGCTCTTACGCGAGACACTTAATCCACCTCTGTCCCTCCCACTCTTCCTCGTCATGAGCCCCTTTCGAGTTTCCGCGCCTCCTTCTCGTCGGCAACACCTCGAAAAGCCGTAGTACCGTAGTTACTTTACATTAAGCGACCATTAATTAAATCGTATAGCCGTTAATTATCCGAGCGTCTCTCTAACTCGCGGCGATGCTTGTGGCCGCTCTATACGACGCGCCAAGAAAGTTTTTCGCTTCGAAGCATCTTTTCGTTCATCCTTCAAGATAATTATCCCTTTCTTTTTTTTTCATGACATTTACACTTTTATAATATTAACGATTTTCACAAAATTGAGAAATTATAAGCTGAACCAAATTATTGTATCAAAATTTAATTTATTAATAATAAAAATAAAATTAACGGAACAAGAGAAGCAAGAAGTGATCTATAAATTCTTTTCAGAATAGTAATCTTATTAAAAAATAAGATTTTATTAGTTCGTAATCATTTATATATTATGTTAATCATGTCTACAGAGTTAAGAACATCTTAAGAATCAGATTATTAGTATTAATAATATGACATTTTCCTTCATTATAAATTATTATATTTGAATTTCTTTCGCTAATGAGGGAAAATGTATTAAATGCAAATGAGAGTTGAGGAGCCGGTAAATTGCGTTTTTATCGTGGAATATTCTGCGGTGTCGCTTTCCACCGGATAATAGAACGACCGTGCGATTTATCCGGAAACGGAGGCAAAAAACGATAGCCGCTCTGCAGTCTACGTGCGTTTGCACGCCGGCGCGATCGCCATGCGGCATTGCGTACGGCGTACGGCGCTTTAATCAATTAGCGCATATCCGCGTAATCCAATCTGAGCCCTAGGCAGGGTGTGCGGCCCGCATCCATATGTACAGCGGTGGTTTAAAACCACCTCCCTCCTATTCGCCAAAATAACTCGCGCGGTTTTCAACGCCCCTCGTCCGCGCATTGTTAGCATAACCCATGGCGCAACACATACGCGCGTTGTCGCAGTCATTAACTCGAACGTGCCAGCCGTTTATTCCCGTATGTACTGTAGAAACCAGGGGCGAGAATCAGCAGTTTCGAATTTACAGTTAGCCTTCTCATTTTTCATAAGCACTTACTTTCTGAAAAGAGAACAACGAATTAGTATCACAATAATTACTCTTATAATTTAGGTTTTATTATTATCTAATTGTTGTGATTTAATAAATTATGTAAATTCTGGCAAGCCTTTCTGCGTTTACTGTTAAATATTATACACGCGAATGAAATAAGTTGGTTAAAATATTTTAGGGACAACTCATTTTTCCTTCTAATAAAATTAAATAAAGAAACAATGAGACGAGAGACTGTTGCAATACTAAAACGTGCTAATTATTGACGTCAACATCGCGACAATTGAAATTCTAGGATTTCATATTATTTTCCAAGTCCTATAACACGTTTCTCTAAATCCTCTTGGCCAAACTACCTGAGTATATCCCAAACGTCTCGATCCGAGGTGCAAAATCGTAGTTGCTGAACGTTATCCGATATCTCGTAGAGATCGAGACAGCGAGAGGAATTCTGCGGGACGAACGGGGGAGCAGATAACCGAAGCCTGCTACTGGAAAACCCAAAGCAATCACACTTGGACGCGAGGGGTCACTAATTCAATTACTAAGAGCGCTGCCCTTTTGGCCTGATCCAGTTAAGCCACCCCCGAAGAGCTACCCCCGGACCAACCACCTTAGCTATACTATTTTTCTCCCTCCAAAACGAGTCGAGATATCACGGCCATTAGACGTATAAAAGCGTCGTCGTATCCCACACAGTTACTACATATGGCATACGGTCCCATAAATACGCAAGAAGCAAAGGGAGTTTAAGACATGCAATCACTTATTGCTTAATGAAGCAAAGTGCCAACTGTTAAATACCCTCCTACGGTTAGAAGTTTAACCCTTTGTCGCATAATTCTTTCCGAATCTCAGGATAATCGCGGACACCGATTTGACTGCAAAAGATAATTTTTTTTCTTTTTAACAGTTTAATCTAGTTTTTATTAAGCTTAAATATTTAACTGCAGTTGAGCACATGTACAGTTTTTCCAAATAGTAAAAAATTTTTCATACATGAATATGTATAAATATGTATAAACATACATAAATATTCATAAATATGTATAATCATATACGAAATATGTTCATACACCCCTCTTTCTTTTGTAAAATTACCTTTTAGTGTAATAGAAATAATAGTAATGTGAAAACATAAAAAATAATTAAAGAGATAATTTTCACATTGTTCGTTTTAAATAAGAACAAGTTTGGAAAAATGTAAAAAAATGCTCATACACAATTATGCATAATTCTATATATAATTATACATAAGTAATTTTTTTACATTTCTTCAAACTTTATTTTTTCTAAAACAAATAGTGTGAAAATTACTTTTTTAATTATTTTTAATTTTCACATTATTCTGTTATTATTTCTATTATACTAAAAAGTAATTTTACAAAAGAATGAGGGATATATGATCATGTATGAACATATTTCATATATGATTATACATGTTTATAAATATTTATATATGTTTATATACATATTTATACATATTCATGCATGAAAAATTTTTTACCGGGAAATGTTTCATATTGATACTTTCACCATTTTACTTGCGTGAATATTTGTCGAAAGCTATCATTTATCATTTTTGTATTGCGACTTATCGCTAGTTCGGCGAGAAGTTCGAACGTAAATATGAAGGGAGCTCTTTCTTTTTCTCATTTTTCCTAAAGTAGCGGCTGTACACCCTCCGCTATCATACTTCAGGAAACTCGCGCCCCAAGTACCATAAATATACGTACGAGCGCACGGGCCTTTGACCAGCGGTCAAGCACCAACACTTACAGCAATCGTGGAAAAACACGCGCGACTGAAGACCGATGGGTGCGCACGCCACGCTAAATCGTCAGGAGAAGCGAAATGTGCTTTGGAGTATCGTATCACTGGAAGTGCTCGTTTTTGAAAAGCTACAAGGCTCATGATGGTATCATCTATAGGACTTGAGAAAGTATCCATGAAACCTTCACACATTTCGCATTAACTAGAAATACTCCATCAGTACTAGAAAAAAGCGATAATGAATGTACAAACTGATAAATTCCATAGTTATACTTAATGCTCAATTATCTAATATTAGAGTTATTATAATTTTGTGAAACCTCGTATTTTTTATCTACTTGTATCAGATGTGTCGACATCAGTGAATGAAGTAAGCGCATGACATGAACTTTAATGAGCTTTATCCAGATTGAAAATCTCGCTGCATTTTCTCTATCTTTATCAACCTAAATTTGCCAAATTTTTAAATTATTAAAAACAATCATCTTCGATTAACAGTAATATAATAAATATCAATTGTTACAGAAAGTGACTTCAATTTAATCTTCGCACGTTGAACGTATACGAGCTATACGACGATTTAATTAATGTAGAGTAAGAGGATCGTACGGAGGCGATCAGCGCCCACAAGGTGTATTAATATTTATTGCTTTACGCCCTTTCCGGTGCACCGGATGTCCCCCAGCCGGAGGCTCCTGGGCGAATATTTACGGTTTTACTTTCGCGGCCGCGATGGCTGCCGGCCGGGTAGATTGCTTTTTGATTTGCGCTTAATCGGAAAAAGTTATGGGCCCTCGAGAGATAGGCGAGCTGCTGGCGCAGCAGCAGCAGCAGTAGCAGCCCCAGCCACACCGCGCTTCTCGTCGCTCCCCCCGTTTGAGGGGCGTACACACAACTAACGCGGCGGGCCGCATATTAAACCATAAATTCATGGCGCCGCGTTCAGCCTGCTCGGCTCGCCGAGTTATCGTGCAGGGAAGCGTGCGTGGCGTTACTTCAACGCCGCACGCTTTTTATAACGCGATCGCCGTCGATTCGATCCTTCGTTCTCCACTTGTTCGTTCGCTCGTTTCCACTCGCTCTATCTCATTACTCGCGATAATCTTGTCGCGTATATGGACTAATTATCCCATGGTCAATTACTGTAAAATTAATTTATAGAATTTAACAAACTTATTTGGAAATAACGTTTGAGATAGAATACTCATCGAAGCGAGGCAAATGATTGTCAGCCCATCAGACGGAAATCGAATATTTCCCTATTGAGATTTGAATTATAAAGATTTTAATAGAAGAAACGTCAAAGATATTAATATCAAGAAGTTGATTTCTGAGTTTCAAGCGAGAGACAACGGGAACTTTTAATCTTTTGCAGGAAATAATAAGTAATTTATATAAAATTTTTTCACATTTAAAAATGACTTACAATCAATATCGTAAAGTTTCAAACGCCAAAACATGATAACATGATCCGAGAATAATTCTCGCGAATCGATTCTTGTGAGAGAGGTTTACTTTTGTTAGAGGCACTTTCCGTTTGTCTAAAGGAGGAATCGATGTAATTTCATCTTTCAATGCTCGGCAGAGCGAGAGTTTTATCAAAGATGACTCGGCTCGTGAGCGAAATCACCGATCAGGTCGCCGATCGTTACATTGCGAACGGTCAGCTATTCCCAATCACTTGTGAGCTTTATTGGACGACGGCCTGAATTATAAACGAAGATCGAATCCCTCCGGTGCTGCGACTTCGATGCCGCCACTAGGAGGTTCCTGACCTTCCCGCACTCGTTCACACGGCAATCGCAAACGGGCCAGCCATAAGAAACGTCGATCAATCGAAATCAAAAGTGACAACCTCGCACGTTGAGCCAGGGCAGGCATAAAACGGGACGAAAGTCTGGGAACGGATTTTAGGATTTGAGTTCAATTAAGCAATTCTGAATACGATAGATAAAAACATTTCTACTTCATATCTACGATAGATATACATATAGAATGTTTTGTTATGCAAATGTAATCCATATCATGTTTCATTGTGGTTTCATTAATTAAAATTAACAATTCTATACATTTTTCTTGTGCATTTTTAGTTTTACTAATGCAATTATTCTTCCAAATGTTATTTTGTGAAAAAAAGAAATTGCAAGTTATGTATAATTCGAGACAAAACTTGCTTTCAATCCATTAGAAAATGAAATTGTTCAAGAATTAAAGTTCTTAATTTACTATCTCGAGTTCTGATAATAATTTGTTTACCTATCTCAATTATAATTTTTAAAAAACTTATTTTAATTCTACAAGTAATATTTTTATACATTTAATCTTTGGCAATTTAATTAATGATTTTAATTTCTAATAATTTAATTATTTATTTAACTAAGTATTGATTACGAGCTCCAGTGAATAATCACTTTAATTCAAGACTATTAAGACAAGTCATAAAAGTTATCACGTTATTAGTATCATCTTTGGAAAAATAGAATTCCATTATTTTACATACAACGCACAGAAATTAGTATAGAATTACTATTGTTTCACTAATATGCTCACCCTTAACGGAATCCTCTTGACCTTGTCCACTCGACCTTGTAACCTGCGAGGACACTTTGACCTGATCATTGGAGGATACAAGAGTTTTGCCATCACTAGAGTTTTGACTTTTTAATTCAACGCAATTTTCCGGACTGGGTGATCGGTCCCTCGATATAGGCGGTGGCGAAGGGGTGCATCCGAGCAGTTTGCGAACCGATAGCTTCAGCTCGGGTGTCTTCAGAGGTGGCAAGTTCTCCGCGGTGTCCCGGATGTCCTTGATCTTGGCCGTGACGGAGAGATCCTCCGGTTGCAACCGACCTTCTGGCGACGGCGGTTCTTCGACGCTTCCGCTCGTCTCGATGACGCTAGTAGTCTCTTGCGCCGCTTCATCTAAACAAGGTTTCTCTTGTATTCATCTGTCGCGCGGGACCATCCTGATCGCAAAGTATTAAGAACGCGATAAAGACGTCGGCGATTAGGTCGATTCGTAAGTGAATTGCGATTTTAGCAGCAACAAGCATTCACAGCTTCTGAATGTAATTTCTGTCATCATAATAATATCAGAGTTAATAAAAAAAATAGATTATATATTGAGAAAAATGAATGTAAACAACTTGGTATCTCTAGCATCCACAATTAATTTTCTTTAATCCACATTTAACACAAATTATATATAATAGTCCAAATAATCGTGCAGTCTACTGTTATTCAAGGAATACACAAGAATACAATTTTATATAACTTTCACTATAAATTTCTTTTTAATAAATTCCGAATCGATATATTTCTTCTGCTGGATCACTAACAATCTGAAACACAAGCACATAACGAATCGACCTGACGCGCATAGCAAATTTCATTCGATTCAGCACATTTTTATGCTCGGCATCATGATTTATATTGAGATCTATCATTGAGATCCCATAGAAAAATATGCGCGCACTGCATCGATCGATTTTGATCAATTTTCGATCAACTCAGCACCCAAAGACTATTAAGTATATCACGCGGTACATCGGAAAAGATGATTACACATACGCCGGTCAGCATCGTCCGCGACGTGATCACCGATGAGATGCGCGATCCGCGTTGTCGAAGCTCTTGGAGACGAACTGGGCTAGCTGCTCCATCCTCACGGTTATCAGGGCAACTCTCGCGCGCGACGTCGCGCCTCGGCACCGACGGCACTCGCCGCCGCCGTCGCGAGAGAGCCGTCGCCGGGGAGACACGTCGACGGGAGGCACATCCCGACGTCGACGTCCCGACGCCACGCGTCCTCCAGGACGCCATTCGGCCGCCGACCAATCCGCATGCGGATGGGCGTGATGGAAACGCCCCATGGTGCTTCTCCCTCCTTCTCGTCTCGATCGAGACACGATCCGGGGCTCGCAGCCCCTCGTTCCCTTCCAGGAGGCAGGCACGATCTACCCCCAAACCAACGCTCATTAGCATTTGTGCCCGCTATTCCGCCCGCCGCGGAAACGCTCGCGGCGAAACTACCCCCTCGTCACCGACCGGGAGTAGGACGCTGCTCGACGACCATCCTACCATCCCCCGCGTTCTTCTCCGCGCCCCGTATGACCGCCAGGGCCGCTGTATTTACCTGGAGGCAGAAACAGGCCGCTGCCGCCGCCGCGGGCACGCGGTAATTAATCCCATGCTTTCCGCGGTCGAAACTCCTCCTTTTTGTCTGGCCTCGTTATCGGTCGTCGGATCATCGACTTTCTGCTCCGGGTCTGAAAAGAGAGAGTTATTTTACGAATGAACTCGGGAATTTTGAACACGTTATCTTCTTCTCGCGATAAATCATGAATAACGTAGACACGAATTGTGTGTGTAATCCAATTATAAAATTCTGTTTTATTAATCGTTTCTTGTTCACTTTATCGTTCGAAATAATTTTTTTCTCTTTTTAGATATTTATGTTGAATATATGTAAAGAATCTGCAAGACACCGCACATGTGTGACAGTTAAAATTAATCTAATGCTTTAACATAAAAGTAACCGATTATGTTTCCAGTATTCAATATATTTTTCGGTATTTTTAAAATTAATTTTAATTTTATGAAATAAATTATTCGAAATTACTTTCACTAATAAAGTATGTAAAAATAAAAAAATAAAACATAAATATATATAGAGAAAGAGAGAGAGAATCTGAGGTAGAAATCTCCAGGCAGAAATGAATCTAAAAGAAACCACGATGCAGATAAGCGGCCCTGCATGTTACTCGTGACAAGTGCATTTCTTCTGTCACTTGCTGCCTCACTTTCTCAGTTCCTGTATATTTCTCTGTTTCAATATCCACTTCTCTTCTCACTAGTAACACACCTTCCCTTTTTTCTTCCTTTTGTTCTCTCTTTGTCTTCCTTTTCGACGATGCGTAAGTGAACTCTCAGGACCGTCAGGATGATGTACATCGGTCCGACGTAAACTCGATTTCGTCCTTGCCAATCTTGATTTTTCAGACACGATTTATCGTCCTCGATAAAGTAACGTCGTGTTTGTTGCGCGATTCTCACCGGAGAAGACATCCAATATTCGCTGCCTTCCGGGTAACGCTGAATCTGCATCGTTTAGAGCAACATTAAATCTACGAAGTTGTTCTCTCTCGCGAGCAACATCGGTACGCCGCAAATCTCTCCTCGCGCCAGGTGAATGCGACCCTGGGACATGTACCCCGTGTTTGTCGCCGCCAAACTCGGCAATATTTAAATGCGATTGCGTTCGGGGAATGTAATTGCTCGGGCTATACTAGCAGACTTCGCCTTGTCAGTCCGTTTTACGAGATATGGACGAATGGAAAGGGAGAATGAAGTCTGCTCGAGAAGTGCGAGTAGATATACGAAGGAAATTTAGAACTTGAAACATATTATCAATTTTCCATTCTTAAGCAGGTTCTCGCGCTATTTCCTAGTTAATAGATAGTTTCATAATAATATGTAAAACAATTAAAATAATGGAATAAAAAAATTACTAACAAATATCTTATGCCATTATACATAATTATCGTTAATTTTATATGTTACTAAATATTTTCGAAATGACAAAATAAAAGTTATAAGATGCTCATTTGATGTATACGCATCGTCCATTTGACATATATTCTAGCTTTTTTCATTGAAGAATATAAATTTCTTGTAAACTGTATGGTCAGTTTAAATGAAACTTTACGAGAACAAACTTAAGTGTTTACTTTATAATAACGATTTTTAAATTGCTGTCTTATACGCAATTTTCTCGATTTAAAGAGAATAACTGCAGAACAAATTTATATCTTCAACTTGTAATGTAAAATTCTATAAATTTAGAATTAAATATCTTCAAAATGATATACGGTAAAAGTCAATAAATTTTTTTCTAGATATAGACATTATTAACTTTTGTGTTACATGTATATTATAGACCTGTCTTATATTTCATCAAACGCGAGAACCTCTTTAACTTTTTTATGGAGATATCACGGTCTTAATCTATGATCAAGGAGAAGAGAATGAATCTTCGATTGATATTTGAAATCAAAGAAAAATCAAGTGAAATAGAACAAAATTAGTAGGATTAGTAGGACTAGAGAAGATGCTTCAATAAACAGTATCAAATTTCTCAAAGAATGCTTTTTTAAATTATCGAAATTTCAAAGCATTTTATATATCGATTATGCTAATTAAACGATTATATTAATAGCGATAAACAATGAGATAATGGGAATATAGGTGTAAAAGTCGAGTGTGTACATTACTCGAAATATTCGCGCTTCTCAATTTCTGGGAGATGAGACGGTGACAATGGGAACGCGCGAGGACACCCCCGTGCAAATGAGAGGACACCCTCTCTTCGCTCTTTCAGCAGAGAGAAAGAGGGGAGGGAGAGAGAACGGTACAACGACGTGGACGAGGGTGGACGGACGAGGAGAGGGGCAAAATGCCGGGAGTGCGGCCTATAACGCAGGCAGACGGAGCCAATCAGAGCGCAATGCGATTACCTTAACGAGAAATCCGATTACTTATTCATTCGCCTAACTCGAAATCAGTTTAACTAATCGTTTAATTCGGTCGCTCTCGCTACCAGCCCCTCCGGTCGGTCCCAGGCCTTCGGATCTCCCCGGCCTCGGAGAAGAGGAGCGTAGACGCACGGGGGTTACAATGTCTCACCAGGGACGTAGCGAAATCTCGCGCGGCATCATCCGAGGCGATTACATTTCGAAGCAAAGTACAATGAACGGGATTTCTAAAAAAAAAATTAAATTATTGTAGCCTTTTTAATTTACATCTCATGTATTTGATCACGATTAACATTAAATTAAATGTATTATCTACGAGATCAGTCAACTTTTATTATGGATATAAGTAAAAACTCGAAAATATATTTATAATTTGAATATCACTGATATTTTTAATCTACTTAATGTATTTCTTGGGACTGTTTTATTGCTTGTTGCTAAACAATGACTTAAAAATTAATTATTTATTCATTTAATGGATTCCAAAGAGCTTTTCTATACAGTTTCTGCTGTATCAATAATCTTGCTATTCGATGGAAATTGAAAGCACATCTTCAGCTTTGAAAATCTCACCTTTCCAAAAGACTTACCGACTTACGTCAGTTTCCGGGGCCCCTTCCAACCTTTAATCCACCTTTGAATCTCGGTCCACCCCTCGGCTCGCATAGACCATGCACGCACACGCGTGCTTGAGCATTCGCACGCGTACACGTTCGAGCCAAACGCTTCGGAAGGGGGTGAGCGATGCGGAGCAAAGGAGAGGGCTCATTCAATTCAATTACGTAATGAATTGTCGTGTCTTGAGTAAACACCCTTCCTCGCCGCGACTTGCCGGCGGAAAATCCAGGGCGGTATCCACCGGCACCCTTCCCTCCCCCCCTCTCTCTCTCTCTCTCTCTCTCTCTCTCTCTGATTTCCAGCGGGGGGAGGATGGGATAGCGGTTTAGGTAAACCAAATCAATCTGGCACTAGCTGTACGAAATCCCCCCGATGCACCTCTCGCATGCGTGTGTGAGCGAGCTGCCTATGTGCAAGCAAATCCGGATTTCCGCGTGCGTTGGTGGTCCTTTATGTGCGCGCGCGAAAGCGCAAACGTGCACGCGCCCGTAAATGTAAACATGCGTGCGATAATGCGTGATTACGCGTGAAGACTCGATTCCGCCTCGATTGCGCGCGGAATCCTCTGAAAAATAGTGGATCACGATTTTATAACAAAGGCTCTTTTTGATTAATTTGGAATCAATCTTACTCAATCCCTCTGAGTGGATCGTTGAAGGCGTCGGTGATAAAAAGTGACAGAAGGTAAAAAATCGAAAACTAATACGTATAGTAATACCCAACCTAACCCAAGCAGAACAATAAGTCACGATAACGTTAAAATGACATTAAAATGAATTAGAAATTATTGAAAAATGACTTTTTTAAATTTTAATGATTATTTTGGAGTCATTTTGACATGATTTTGATAGAGGAAAGTCACCGATACTGACATAGGTCTCCTAAAGCGACATCCTCTTATTTCTTAAAACTAACCTTTGCACCTTACTAATAAAAACGTGATCTGTTCAGCTAATTAAAGAAGTAGCTAACAAACTCATAATTCATATATTTGTGGCTTATTTCTATACCAAATCAGCTAAAAACAAAGTCTATGAATCCAAAAAGAAAATTATTACGGTGTTCTTTTACAAATTGTGTAATTAAAATAATAGTGACTGTATTATCGATAGTATTATGTCATTTTAAATGTTCATATAGTTTCATAAATTAGTTTTCTTTACAGAATAGGATATATCTTTATTTATAGAATAGGAATGTTGGCATTATTGCCTACTATGTCAGTTTTGGAGCCCATTTTGTCAGACGTTCATTTTTACATAACTTACGAAGAACTTAACTATTGCAAAATTGCAAACAGTATTATAAAAACTGCTTATATTATCTGATAGAAAACACTTTTTAGTTTGTATTTATGTTTTTGAAGTTGTATTTTTACTTTTTATTTAAGAAATATTATCTAAAAACAAAGTGGTATGTCGATATCGGTGACCTTCCCCTATTATAATGACTTGTTCTGCTTGGGATAATAATCATCATAATACTATCTTCACGAAACTAAAAGTATGATATAATAATCAATTAAAATGCTATTATTTTTGTAACGAAACACTTTTCAACATACATCATTTTGCTGATTAATTAGACTAAACATTTTCTGAAATTTGCCGATGTCCTGGATAAATCCTAGCTTGTGAATTCATTCGGGGCTTGAATAATTTCAACGACTCCTAATTTATCATTCAGATCGAAGAGCCTTGATCCACGACACTAAAGACTTCTCGTCTTCTGTTTGCAAGAGCAGTATTGGTAATTTTCGTGTGTTCTCCGCAAATTAACGGGACCGACTCGAGTGACAGGGGTTGCTCGCCGGGGATTTACACGACCATCGGATTAACTCAAAGGAACCAAATTGGCGGTATTACTCGATGTCGATCGAGTTAAACGCCGTATTGGGACAAATAGCTGTCGACTGGCTGTCGACTGCTCCAACATTCCGCAGTCTCGTCGATTTGATCGCGAAATAATATAACGTCCAATCCTCACGAATATTCTCCCAGGAGAATCTCTCGTGGTGAAGCGATCGCATCTTCGAATTTAACAATCCGTGCCTTCCAAGAAATCTCGCCTTTTCGCGATCATCTAAAACGGTTAATTTTCATAAGACATCATTTTCAAAATGACGAAGAAGATTCAAATAAAAGTAGAATGAAATACAATAAAGATTCGATCGCCTTTGTGAAATTCTCGTCGAAGTTTCGAAGTCAGATCACAATATGGAACGGTACGTCGATTAGGTACAGATTAGAATCTTTATAGAGGCCTGTTCTTTTTGGCTGAACTTTTGCACCAGTTCATCTTTCTTCCTCTTCTTTCCTCCTGAAGAGAAAAAGAAAAAAAAATGAACTGGTGCACCGACGAGATACTATTAAAGACCATCAACCCTGGACAAATTTTCGGCGGTATAAAAAGGGCCCCAAGGGCCCGGAGGTAATCGAAAAACGCTGACATTATCGACAATTGATATAAATTTGCTATTATTAACATAAATATTTGACTAATACATTATTAAATTCATGATATTTTATTACATAAATGCTCTATAAATAAATATGCATATTTGTAAAGCTATAATATCCTATATATTGCCGAAAAATTACAATTTTTTTCTCTGCAGTTATTATCTCTGTTGATAATCGATCTTTGATGATAACACTAAAATTACAATTTTAAAGAAAAATCGAGTATTATTGAGTTTTAAATGCACGTATACCGATAAACACGTCTACTAAACTAATAAATCATAAAATTAGTACAATATTATCAGTTTTTTTACTCTTAATCACTTCAATATTAACAAGGACGCGAACTCCCATAAGGATGTCGATCTTTAATAATATCTCGTCGGTGACTGGTGCAAAAGTTCAATCAAAAAGAACAGGCCTTAGATCTCTGATTAATAATAATGCAAATTCTCAATTAGAAATAATTACATTAAGGTACCTTTTCATGCTG